GCGCCACCCCTGCCATCGTCGTGCCAGGCCCGGCCTCCCGCTCTTGTACTCATTCTTTTTTCCTTTGAAGACTTTGCTTAGCTCTTTCGTGCAGCCACGTGGGCTTCCTCTGCCTTTTTTTTTTTTTTTTTTGCTTGATGGAATCGCTCATCGTTGTGCCTGGAGAATCTTCTTTTTCAAGATTTCCCACCCCTCTTGGACTCCTCTTCCCTTAAGAGTTGCCATGGCACCACACTCACCATTCTTCAAGTTTGTTCAAATTGCCTTTCCTGAAGTCCAGGGAATGTGATTTAGTCCCCAGAGTGGAGCGCGTTAAGCCAGTTGAACAGGCTTAGGATGGGCCACATTTTAAAAAGAAACCCACAAAAGCGTGTAGGAACATTTGTGCAAAATTGGTCAGTTTGTGCAGATTGGCAGCTGAGAAGCTTGTGGTCCGCATATGGTGCTTTTTGGGTGCAGATTTGGGCAGGCCCCCTTCTCTGGGCTGCCGTTCCAGTGGGAACCCTGTGTTGCCGAAGCAGCCCTGAGCGGGCTCCGTGGACGGGGCTCCGTGGCCCAGGGCCCAGCGGCCTCCCTCCCCTCTTGGGAATTTCCCATGGCTATAGGCCCGCCCACCGCTGAAGGAAGAATGGAGGTGGGGTGGGAAGCGCACAGCTCGAATTCCACACCGAGCCCCCCCCCCCCCCGAGCCCCCAGGTCAGCAGTGGTGAAACAAGTGGTGGGAATGTTAATTTTGGAGCTGTCCATTTCTGGCCGGTCTGCAAGCAAAATGTGACCTTTGCAGCATCTCGTAGTGCTCCCGGGCAGCTTGCCACGGGGTTTCCGTGGCAAGCCACACGTCTTTTATCTCTTTGGAGGTGGGCAAGCTGCCCACAGGCACGGGGGTCTCCGGAGCAAACATGGCTGATGGACCAAGCAACCGACTGATCACATTTCTGAGCCCTCCGGCAGCTGAAGCTTCCTGAGCAACTCACAAGCGCTCACGATTTACCCCCTGAAAGGCAATGCAGTCCAATGCCATGTAACGTTCCAAATGCGTTGTAGCATAATAGTAAAAGCCAAGAGAAAACCTGCTGCAATTGAAAATACAGGAATGATCCCAAGCAACAGAAATGCCTGACTTTCCAAGCTTTGCTACCCTGGGGCGCTCGGGGGTTTTGTCTGCTCCAGGAAGGCAGTGCACGCATTCCGGCCTCCTCCTGGTCGCTGCAAGAGGGAAGAGGCGAAGGAGAAGGCCGAGCCTGCGGGTCCGGCCCCAGGGCTCCACCCACGGGGCTTTGCTGCACTGGGGCGAGCCGGTGGCCCGAGCTCAGGGCTGACCTAGAGGGAAGCCGGCGCTCCAGCAAGGAAGGCGTGTTCGCATGGAGAAGGCGCTTCCTGCCGCGGCAGTGGGCGGCATCCTGCCGAACCGCGTGGGTCCAAAGTTTCTTCATCACCCTCCTGCCTTTCGCCAGACCTCACTTGCGGCGGTTTTTGCACTTCAGAGTCTCCTGCTCCACCAGCCAGGCCAATGTGGGCCGTGCTGGGGTCCCTCAGGAGCACCCCTTGTAAATGCGATGCTTCATTCTGGCAGCTCTGCCACTGAAATTGCTTTCTGTTCAGTGGGAAGATGGCATCACTGACTTGGGTTTTCTTGCTCCTTCATTAGCGTCCCGCAGAGACAGGACTTAATTACTGCTTCATTTTGTTGTTGTTCTCGCTTGCACTGTTTTGCAATAAAAAGAGTAGAAAAAAACAGATAAGCTCCAAACAAAGGTCTCTCCTGAGCAGCAAGAACAGACTGATGAGCTTCAAGTCCAATTAAGAGATAATTCAGCATTAATTCCCTGGACAAGCTGAATCAGAAGAGTCAGAAGCGAAAGGAAGAAACTTCTAACTGAACTTGCCAGGAGACTTCTGCTTCTGACTATGATGGGAGGGACTCAGGGCTTTGCTTGACATTTTGCACGTGGGCCAGGCAACTCTGCTGGTTCCCATCCGACTTGGGGAGCAGCGGTCCCCGTGGGCCCTGGTGTAAAAGCAACGGACGTTCTGGACATTTCTATTTATTTATTGCTTGTGTTACTGCATCTATATCCCACCTTTCTCCTATAAAAAAATCCAAGGGAGCTTCTGTACTTCTCCTCCTCCTCCTCCTCCTCCCCATGTTATCCTCACGACAATCCTGAGGCGGGTTGGGCCGAGCATCTGTGACTGGCCCGAAGCCACCCAGCGCGCTGCATGGCCACGTGGGGACCCGAGCCCAGGCCTCCTGGGTCCTCGCCCTGCACCCCGACCTCCCGTCTATACTGCCCCTGCCCATCAAATGCACGCCGTCCTGCTGCCCTGCCGGTGCCTGCTTTTGCCAGGAAGGGGTCCGGCGGCACTCCTGCGAGCTCTTCCAAGATCAGCTGTCCTTGGGGACGCCGGAGAGTCACCGGGGCCGGACACACGGGCGGGGAGCCTCCTGCTGCCACGCTTCGGAAGCGGCCCCGCCGCTGCTTCTCCCCGTCTTCCGTCCTCAACCGAGATGGCTTCCAAGAGCATGGGCTGGGCAGTCACATGCTGCTTGGGGAAGCGGGCCGGCAGGCTGCTGGAACTTCTGCCTCCCAGGACCCTGGCCTGGCATCCCCCCAGGTGCAAAGCTGGCCAGCCAGGCACTCACCTCCGTCCGCCCGGAAGCACTTCTGGCTCCACCTGCGTCTGCGCAACAACAGAGGAGCGCCGGGGCAGGGACTGGGCCGCCCCCGCCAAAAGCCCCCAGCCCGGCGGCACGGCCACCCAGCCACCAGGCTAAGCCCAGGGACGTGCCCATCTGCGCCCGTGGGGGGGGGGTCAGCCCCACGGGTGTCCGTCCTTGCAACCCGCCCCCTCCCTTCTGGGTCGGCTGCCATTTTGCCGGGATCAAGCGCATTCTCGAGAATAAAGCTGGCGTTTTCCGTCTCTCCCCCTTGTTGCACTTAACCAGGCCAAGCGGGCCAAGGTCCAGGCCCCCCGAGTCTGGCACCAGCACCCCAGAAGCCCCGCTCCCGCAGCCTCCACCCACTGCTGAGCCAGGGGGCGCGTCCGGAGCCCCTCACCTGCCGCTGCTCCCATGGGAGAAGGCAGGCAACCCCAAGGGCGGCCTCGGGTCCAACTGGGCCGGGGGGACACGCCATGGCCAGAGCGGGTGTGCGCAGGGGGCCCCGGGCCTGCTCCTCACGGCCCATCGAGCCTCCTGGAGGCACCGCGCTGGAAGCCAGCTCTGCACGCAGGCCCGGTGGGGGTGCGCGGGGCAGGGCGGGGGGCTGTGCCCATCCTCGCCCACCCCGGCTTTGGCGTGGCCACCGCCCATGGGGCGCCCGGCCAGTGGGCCCACCCCGACGGACTGCCCCCCTCGCAAACGCCCGCTCACAGCGCTACACGCCACCGTCGCACGGCTGGCCAGCAGCGGGCTCTTCCAAGGCCCCCACTCACGGGGGGGGCCGCTCAGCCCCCGCTGCAGTCACGACGCCCCCCCGAGCACGGCTCCGTGCCTGCCTCGAGCCTGCCTTGCTTGTGGCCATGTGGGCCAAGCTCAGGCGGCCAGAGAGTCGCGGCACAGCCAGCCCCCTCCGGGCCGGAGGAGCGGCACCCGGGGAGCAGCACGGCCCCCTTCCCGGCTCTTCCGCACGGAAGCCTGGAACCCGCCCTGGGCGGCTCGCCGAGCAGCTGCCGTGCAGCCTGAGGAGCCGGAGCCGGCAGGGCAGTGCGGCCAGCGGGCCAGCCAAGCCCCGCGTCGGGTCCAGGCCACCTGAAGGACCGTGCCCTCCCTCATGAGCCCTTCCCGGAGGTCCTCTGGGGAAGCCCTTCTCCTGGTGCCCCCCCCCCCACAGGCACGGGTGCTCGGGACACCGGCGGGGCCTTCTCCGTGGCTGCCCTGAGCTCCGGAGTCTCTTCCTGGGGAGGCCAGGCTGGCACCCTCCCCGTCTCCGAAAGCGGGCAAGAGCCTTCCTGTTCCCGCAGGCCTCTGGGAAGGGTCTGGGCCTGCGAGTTTGTACTGGACTAGTTTTGCTCTCTCTGTTGCTTTTAGCGTTTTTAAGTTGGCTATTTGCACAATTTTAACACCTTGGTGATTTCGTAACGTTTCAAGCATCTGCATACGTCTATAAATGTTTTAACAGCAAAGCCAGGAGTTCTTGGCTTTCAGAGTCAAGTCAGCTCTACATTTTTGTGAGCTTAAAGGCAGGTAAGAACCGTCTTCCCAACACATGCACACAAGGGCCGTCGGTATTGCACCCGCCTCGCGGAGGAGAAACGCTGGGGCCCCGCGGCCCGGCAAGGCAGCCCACTTTGCAGAGGGCTGTGCACCCGCGCGGCGCGTGGCGACCACGCAAGCCAAGCCTGCTGCTGTCGGTGCGGCAGGAAAACGCAGGCAGGGCTGGGCACCGCGTGGCAGTGCTAGTAACACAGTGTGGCCGCTCGAGGTGGTGGCGCCAGCTGCCCCTTTCCAAGAGGCCCGGGCGTCTTTGGCGCTGGCCCCGGAGCGGAGTCCGCGGGCGCCGCACTCCAGCGCTTTCTCATGTTGCAGCAATAAAGAACTGAGGAGGGTCCCTGGCAGACGGAAGGCCTCCTTCACGAGCCCAAACTGGGCCGTGGCCCCGCTGCCAGGCCCCTTCCGGCACCCACAGCGCCTTGGCGCGTTCTCCACACGGCAGAAGGAGCCGGCAGCGCGGCTCCGGCCTGGGTCTGGTTTCCTTTGCAAGGGGGCCAGGCCGGTGTGCTGTGTCTGGTGGCCTCTGAGCTTAGTCACAAATACAGGTGCAGCTTCAGGAGAGACCCCACCCGCAGCTCCTACATCAGGTCTCCAGAGGGGGCCTCCGGGGCCCGAGGTGCACCTCCCCCCCCGCCCCCTCACCTCCAAACAGGCACGAGTCCTTCCGCAAAGAACTAGTCTGCCTGCTCCCGCTGACCACGGGGGTTTTGTCTGGCACGTCTGGCCTCTCCCCCAAAGGGCACTCAATCCAGCACCTGCCTTTACAAGTTAATAACGGCGCCATGCCTTAAACCCAAAGCATTTTCATTAGCACCTCCAGTGCGAATATTACAAAATACATTTTGAAAACAACAGATACTTCAATCACCTATCAGACTGCAAAACACTCTGATAGGGCCAGACCAGGAACGCGTCGCGCTGCGTCTGGTGGCGTCTCCCCCCTCCCTTCTTTGGATGCTGCTTCCTGAGCCGGGCTGCTGGTCGCATCCTGCTCCCGCCTGACGCTTGGGGCAGCGGCCTGCAGGCAAGGCACGGCTGGCTGCCAGGGCCACACCACGCAGGCGAGGCAGGCTGAGGCGGGGGCAGGCGCGGCCACGGCAGCGAGGCAGGGGCTGCCGGGCACCTCTCCTCCGTGCCCAAATGAGAACTGCACCCGGCTGGGTCAGCCCTGCGCCCCTGTGCAAATTACACTGGGGCGGGTGGGTCACTCGGCACGTGGCCACCACAGGTACATGGCTTGGCACTCGGCCTGTGGGAACGGCAGATGCGGCGATGGCCCCGTGAAGTCCGTGTGGAGCCGTGCCGACACCTCCCCGGAGGGCGCGGACGTGAGGCGCGCCGCAGCTCATTTGGCACCATGCCCCTCCCGCCTGCAGCCTGTCCCTGTCCAGCCCTCCCAGGGCTCACGGCGAAGGGCCTCCTCGGCATCAGGGCAGGCCAGCCGGTCGCGCAGCCGCGGCTCCTCGTGCTCGTACCAGGCCGCTTCGCTGAACTCGGGGAAGAAGAAGGCGATCTCCTTGCTGGCCGATGCGGCTGAATCTGCCGGGCAGGGGAGGGAAGAAAATACGAGCAGGCTGATCTCTGGACATGGGAAAGGCAAGATGGCACTTCCACACCCCACAGGACACCTCAAAGGACTTTGCAAGACACAGAAGTTAGGTGCCCACAATTAACTAAACGCAAGCAATGCAAAATGTCTCTGTTAAAATGTTTAAAACCAACCAAAAGCCCTCCCAGATAAAAATAATTAAAATCAGAGAACAAACAAACTGGGCACCCCATCATCACGAGGCCAGCCCCCCATGGCACTCAGAGCGTGCCACAGCCGCCGCGTGCCCGCGCCAGGGAGGGGCACGTCATACAGCGGCTGCCGCGGTGGAGACGTCCATGGCCAGGATGCCAACAGCCAGCAAGCCCTCTTCCAGTTGCCTTGGCCATCAAGTGGGGCGCATCTTGGCCCACTGCCCAGAGCTGGCAATCGCAGCCTGAAGCCGGTTCCAGAGCTGGCGGGTGGCCAGTGCAGCTGCTGGCTTCCTGGCATGGCCCTTGGGCAGCCTGGCGGTCCAGCCAGCATCCAGGCCGCCGTGTGAGGCACCCGTGGCAGCACCCACACTGAGCACGGGAGCAGCTCCAGCCGAAGCGCACTGCGGTGATCCAGACGCGAAGCTCCTGGGGCGCATCACGGGGCCAAGCGATCCCTGCCCAGGGAAGGCCCCAAGATGCTGGAACGCCCCCAGAGCCGAACGGCAATGAAGGACGTGGGCGCCTGGCCTCCCGGGCGAGTTCCGAGACCCCCACCTTCCGGAGAGTGGAAGTGCACGGTCAGCCTGGATGGGGAGGTCCGCTTCCGCTTCCCGTAAAGCTCTTCCTGAGCTCCGTAACACTTCTGCGCAATTTCACCCCACCGGCTGGCTCTGTTTCTTGTGCTGATTTTAAGTGGGTTAATTTTCGGAGAATCTTGAGCGCTGCAACTCGCTTCTAACAACTTTCTGGCCAAAGGGCCCCACGGCAGCCCTCCCTCCTCCCCCCGAGCGCCGCCCCCGGGACTCACCTGAGCCGTGCACAGTGTTCCGGGTGTCCGTGAGGCCAAACGACCCGCGGATGGACTCCGGGTCCGTGTGCTGCGCGCGAAACACCTTGGTCGGACCCATCAGAGATCTCCAAAGCGAGATGGCTTCCTTGTGGGCCAGGATGTACGCCCTCATGGGGCCACTGCAGAGGAAACGGGGATGACGGCTTGGGTCCTGGTTACCTGAAGGAGCGCTTACGTCCATATATGCCCAGCCGCCCCCTGAGATCAGCGGGAGAGGCCCTCCTCTGGGAGCCCTCCGTGAAGGAAATCAGGAGGGCGGTTACTCAGAGGAGGGCTTTCTCAGCGGTGGCACCTAAGTTATGGAATGCGCTCCCCAGAGAGGTCCGCCGGGCGCCGTCGCTATTTGTTTTTCGGCACCAGGCGAAGACCTTTTTATTTAAGCAGCATTTTAAATGTTAATACTATTGAATTTTATTTGGCCAAGGTGGCTTATTTTATTCTAATGTATATATTTTAATTGTTATTGTCTTAATTTATTGTTGTGAGCCGCCCCGAGGCTTCAGCGAATGGGGCGGCATAAAAATGTTTTAATAAATAAATAAATAAATAAATAAAAATAAATCTCAAGCGAGGTGCTGTTTCCCCGGGTTTGCATGCTCCAGGGGGCCTCTCTGTCTCCCTGCCCTTTCTCCACAATAAAAAGCCCACCGTGCCTGGGAGAAATGGAAATTTTGTGTTCTCTGCAGAGAAACAGGACTAATACAGCGGTGGCGAACCCATGGCACATGGCCCACAGTGGGCACACAGAGCCCGCTCTGTCAGCCCTCTTTTTTCTAAACTTGAACCCCAGTATTCAGGTTTTATGGCACTGCTGGCACTTTTAATAAATAAGTGGGTGTGGGTTGCAGCTTGGGCACTCAGTCTCTAAAAGGTTCACCATGACTAGGGTTAGGGTTAGAAAAACAAGGTGTCCTGGCATGATTTTGATGGTTGGAATGTGTTTAGAATGGGCAGAAATGATGAGCTGTGCAGGAAAAGCTACTCCAGGAAGGCTTTTTCGAAATTGCATTATTTTCAATTGAAACTAAACCCCCAGTATTCAGGTTCCATGGCAGTGTTGGCACTTTGTGATAAATAAGTGGGTTTGGGTTGCAGCTTGGGTGCTCGGTCTCTAAAAGGGTCACCAACACTGGCCTAGTTTGCAACTAGCTTTGTGGGCCTGCAGGGGACACAGAAGGCCAGGTCCTTCCCGCCCGTCCCAACGAGCAGCTGATCCCTCAAGCACTGGGCCAACCGTTGGGAACGACAGCAGGACGGCGGCCACCTCAAGGGTGCTTGGCTCCCCCACTCCTTTGCCAGTTTGGCCAGGCACTGAGGACCAGCCAATGGGAAGGAGGCCACCCAACACGTCTGGAAGGCACCAGGTGGCCGTAGGTGCTTGAGGACCGTTTCATGCTGGCAGGGGTTTTACTCTTCCATGTTCAGTGCACGCGCCAGCTCCTTATTCCTTTAATACAATTATAATACTGTCTATTTTTGTTTACCCAGTTATGGTGTGCAAACTGACCAATTTCAAAACGTTATCAGCCAGTTCGAAGTGACCCCCTTGCAGCACAGGCAGGAGGACGTGTGCCTGAGGACTCCACACAGGGTCGGGCTGATTAAGATAAAAGGACTCGCGCGGTGTCGCGACGGCAGGTGCCGGGCTGCCAGTTCCGCTCCAGGACTTCCCTTGCAAAGGTTACCTTTTGCAGCGCGAGTTCGGCGTGCTCGGCTTAAGCCCAGGCAGGGGGCTGTGAGGAATCCCCTTGCAACACATTTTATTATTATTACTACTACATTTTTATACTGCCCATAGCCAAAGCTCTCTAGGCCATTTACAATAACCAAAGGATCATACACTCCAGTCACCCATCCCAATTCTGGCCAGGCCTGACCCTGCTTAGCTTCTAAGATCAGGCAGGATCAGGCACTTCAAGCTACATGGAAGCTTGGGGGGTGGGCGGGTGGGCGAGCAGAGCGCTGCTGGAGTTCACCAGGAGCCGAGCCTGGGAAAGCGCCGCACAAGAGGCCTCTGCTTACAGGGCGCACGCCGTGCGGTTACCCCGCACAGAGCAAGCAAAGGGGCCTCACTTGAGCCTTCGGGGAACTCTGGGGGACACGTCTCAGAGCAGGCCACCGACCTACCTGGCCATGTATTCCACCAGCCTCTGGTAGAAAAACCGCCCTGGGAAAAGGAAAGCGACGGCGTGAGAGAGGCGCCCGGCTTCAGCAGAGGCCCTCCGAGCGTTCCCCACCCGCCCCCCCAGCCCCAAACTCTCCGGGCCTTCCCTTCGCACCCAAAGAACCTTGTCCTGCAAGCAAGCGGCTGAGGCAGCCCAGGTGCGGGCATCCGGCCCCGGAGGGGAGCCAGGCGCCGCTCTGCAGGGACCCGGTTCCCGCGTGGGGGCAATCAGCTCCGCCTGGGCAACGCGCGGGCGCTCGGCTGGCCTGCTGCACCGGGGCCGCGCCCCTTCCCCAGTCCGGGGCTTGGCACCTGCCCCGCCGGCAGCGCGCGGCCAGCGGGTCCCCCACGCGGCGGCCCGGCCCCGCCGGCCTTCCCCGAGCCGGCAGCCCGCCGGACGGCCACTCCCCAGCGGCTCGGCCGAGGCGCAGCTTCCCCGAGCCCGCGGAAGCGGAGCTGTCTCGGGGGCGCGCCAGCCGCGCCGCAGCTCCAGCGCCCCGGCTCGGCGCCCAGCGGCCGGCCGCGCTCCGGGGAAGCGGGCCGCGGCCCCACCTGCGTGCTCCCGGTAGAAGCGCTGGCTCTCCTGCCGGCTCCACGCCAGCTCCTTGCGCCGGACGATCAGCAGCCCGTTCTCGCGGATGGCCTCGTGAACCGCCTGCGGGCAGGGAAGGCGCCCTTCAGGCGGCGGGAAACCCAGGCGAGGCCGTGGGCCGCC